TGTTTTTTCAAAGCCTTCCTCATCTCTGGGAATATCACAAAGTCGCACAATGCCAAGTCTAGGCTGTAGAGTGGATGGGGAAGCAACGTGATATGTTTTTCAGCCAAAAAACTCTCTGACAGCCAAATCACTGTGACTCTGTTGTGATGAAGGATCCAAGTTGAGCCAGTTTAAGGACACACATGAAAAAAACTCTTTGTCTCAAGAGACCAAGAACTTCCAGGTAAAATCTTTGATTCACAGTTTGACTAGCTGGTATAAAATTCCTTATTGACAATTCCACGTGATTAAAAAAAAACAGTACCATTGATTTGACTTTTGATTTGCTCATTTGAGCTTCCTTGGGGCGAGGGGATGGTTGCCATTCTGAACTTTGTCTCTTCATCTCAGGATTGTACTCAAACACCCAGGATTCCTCTTCCGTGATTACTTGACTCAGAAAAATCAAGTTCTCTTTTCAAATGGGCCAACAGGTCCTTGCAAATGAGTTGATGGCGTTCCTTCCGTTCAGGTCACAAGTTCTTTGGAAAGTTTTGCACACACTTTTCTCATGTTCAAATCCTGAGTCACCATTTCATGAATTGACTTGGTAATTCCAATTTCATCTGCAATCATTCTAATAGTGAGCCATCAGTCACGGTTGAGAACAGAGCTCACTGCATCCACATTCTGTTCCATTTTTTATGAAAAGGGGCATCCTGATTGTTGTTCGTCTTCAACACCTTCTCATCCTTCTTTGAAGGCCTTGTGCCATCGGTACACTTGTGTAGATGATAGCCCAGTTTCTCTATAAGCTTTCCCCACCCTTTTCAAAGTTTCTGATGCACTTTTACTTAATTTCACAAAAAAATGTTATCACGCACCGCTGTTCCAGACTCACTTGCATTTTTCTTAATATAAAGCACTTGAACAGGTTGTCACAAAAAGAATGTCTCAACTCTGACAGGGCTGGAATGTAACTGATCAGTGTTCTAAAGCATTCTTGGCACCAGGGGCGGACTGGCAACTCATGGGGCCACCGGGCAATATGGGATCATAGGGCCCCTGTGCCCAAACTCAAAAAAGAATATGAAAAAGGTACCAGGGGCATCTCATGGGGCCCCCTACTGATCCCGGGACCTCGGGCAGTGCCCAAGTTTCCAAATGGTCAGTCCGCCCCTGCCTGGCACACCACCCTTCTCAAGTGTAGGAACTTCATTCTCATTATATTCTGGACACACCTTGTATTGTTGTCAACAAATTCACGTGGAAGATTTCACTCATTTTAATCTTTGATGAGAGCAAACAAAACCTTACAGGAACAAGAACGAAAGGCTGGAGTTTATCTTGAGTCTATAACCAAAATGTGTTAGAGGTATCTGTCGAACGATATTATGAGCTCAGTTTTCGAAAGATTGAGTTTTAGGAAGTGTAATTATATGTTGGTTGGTAGATTAATGATGTGCAAGGAAACTGAAGTTGTGAACTAACATCTAGAAAGATAAATTTGAGTGTCATCAGCAAAAGACGTGAGGTTTTGAAAGCGATACGAGGTTATTAACTGACTGAGGGAACAGATGCAGATAGTGAATAATAGGGGCCTGAGGAAAGAGCCTTTGATCTTCCCTACAGAAAAAAGTAAGAGAAGTAGAGCTGGTAGAGTTGTAGTTGATGCTGAAATATTGCTTAGACTGGTAGGAGGAGAGCCAAGACATTTTACATCTTTCTGTAAATATCAGGACTGATAATTTGTCATGTTGTATTGACTTTTTAAAGTGTTACCAAACTCACAACAGTAAAAGCAGTCTGTATATGCAGTAAAGCATGCTTATTATACTCACTGTGGAACCTAAGGGGTAATCCTGCGCATTATGTAAAAAGGCTGTTTGATCCTGTCTTCTCTGATCCTCCCCTTCTTCTACTGTCCCCAACCTATCTTCTGATAGAACAGAGCCTTGGGGGTAAGCTGCACATGCTCATTTTGGTGTGTATTGCAAGAGAGTTTTTTTTTTTGGGAGAGTGCATGTGATCAGCACAGGGCCAATCAGTCCTGTCCACACAGAGGGTCAAGGGTTATGCAGTTTCTTTAACCAGTGGTCTGTTGGACACTGATAGAAGTCACAAGACTACTCTAACTGTTGAAAAGAAAAGCATTTCCATGTTCTGTGGACTGTGAGAGACCAGATATGGTGAATGCAGGGTCCTGTGTTTAGTAACACTTTAAGTGTAAACCAGGCAAATTACTTGTTATGGGTATCATCAGTGTTTCCATATTATGTTTATACTGTTTTAATATTGATTTTCTTCGTTTTTAATAGGAGTTCTGTAATTTGTCAGGTTGCCAGTAAAAATGTGCTCTGTCAGTAAATTTTCCATTTTTTTGTCAGTAAAAAGTACTGCAGGAGGTTTGCAACACTGCTGCCATTTGCACAAGAACTTCTCCTGTGTACTCTCAGAAGTAATTATTATTATTACAGGTACTTATATAGCATCATCAATTTACATATATTATACATTCACATTAGTCCCTAACCCTCAAGGGGCATTCAATCTAAGGTCCCTAACTCACATTTGTACATACACATACTAGGGCCAATTTGGACAGTAGCCAATTAACCTACCAGCATGTCTTTGGAGTATGGGAGGAAACTGGAGTACCCGGAGGAAACCCACAGAGGAACAGGGAGAACATGCAAACTCCAGGCAGGTGGTGCTGTGGCTGGGATTCGAAGAAACGACCCCTAGCACTGCCAAGAGCTAACCATTTAGCCACTGTGCTGCCCCTACACACAGATAATTTGATGTCATGGATCGTGAAACACCTCTCTCTGTCTGATTTTGATAGTAATATTTTTTACAATGCTTCTAAAGTTGTAACATAGTCAAGGTACAAACAATATGGAAAAAGCAATGGCTTATGAGTCCCATACGTTTGAATAGAAGCAAATGTTTTCAGTGTTCAGTCTGTTTGTAGCCAGAACCTCTAGGACTGAAGTAGGGAATAAGTTCCAATACTGGCCTTAAAGTAGAACTATAAGCAACAGTTTTTTCATTTTGAATAGAGTAAGGGAGGGTTATAACCCCTGTCATATTGTCTTTCGCCATCTGTATCCCATTGCGGAGAATTCCCTTTACTTCTTGTCCCATAAACAAACAGAAAGTGAGGGGATATCCCTACAAATTAAAGGAATTTTTTGGGGGGACCCCCAGGTCATCAGAACTAGTGTTTTCATTGAAAGACTTCCCCTCTATTACTTTTTTGGGGACAACTCAAAATGTGGGATTATCTTTTACAAGTTTCAATGATAATTGTAAACAGGACAAATAGAGAGGGTGAATCCCCCCTAACAGGGGCACAGACAGCAATAAAAACTGACAAGCACTCGAATCCCTCTCCATTCTATCCAAAACTAAGAAAAAAAAAGTTTTGCCTTTAGTTATACTTAGAGGGCCCGTGCACTATTCAGATTCAGAATACTGCTTATTGTTTTTTTTTTGTAGGAATGTGGTGTTACTAATTACTGGAGGTAATTCTCCACAGCTACCTTCTATTTCTCTCTCCGCAAATTTCGTTGACATCAATTGTTAGCATTAATCATGAACTTGTGAAAGAGCTGAAGTGGCTGTAAGCTAACGGGCCAAACAGGGAAAATGTTACTAGAAAAGTAAATGAACTGTCCTCAATGAAGGTGTAAGCTCTTGGATTATCCTTTCTATTATTGCTTCAGTGCTTAGAAAGTCACTGACTCATGACAAGCACATTGCTTACGATGATGAAAATGTGGAGGTAGGAGGAAGTGAGCAAGCTTCCACACTACCTGGAGGTGTCAGAGGTTTTTTTTTTGTTCAGTACAGACCAATATGTAAAGGTGATTCTAGCTGCTTGTACCTGCTATCAGCTTCCCTTAAGTTGCAGAATCTTGTTACAGAGGTCTTGGTCTTTTAAATCACTAAGAGTGAAGGATGACAGACCCCCTAGGTCTCTAAATTGAAAACTAAGGGCTCATGTACACTGCAGCTGCTAAACTCAAGTTTAGGAGCTGTTCAGCGTTTTTTTCAGCAGCGTTTGAAATCAGCCTAATGTTTTCCTATGTGTCCATGTACACATCTTCGTTTACAGGCATTTGAGTTTACAGTCATTTTTTTAATGCAACAAACTTGCGTTCAGACGTCGATTTTGTCAGCCTTTCAAACGCAAAATGATTGTAAACGTGGCAAAACATGGCTAAACACAGCAAATGGCGTTTTTAAGCGTTTGTTTTGAAATTTTGTTTTAACTTTTCCAGTTCCCAATGCTGTTCAGAGACTTTTTTTTATCATGAAAAATGAATGCAAAGAGTTTCCAAGCTGCTCAGATGGACAAAACACTGAACACAGGATGTTCCTACCAACACATTGTAATGACCAATTCACACCTCAGACCTCTCCCACCCTTGGAAACAAAAGATATGTTAATGATAATGCCCATTCACACCTCATGAAGACCCCCTGCCAGCTGACCTTAATGACTCACTCCACCAGCCACCTTTCCACCCTTGGAAACAAAAGAAATGTTAATGAGCAACTCACACCTAATTATCTCAACACATACTTCTGTCTCTGCTTCTACTGTGTGTATTTCTCTGAAACAGTCTGAAATAATAATTTACCACTTTTCAGTACATTCTGGGCATTTGGGAGGTTCTCCTTTGCTTATCTTTAAAAAAAGCTTCTAAACGCATATAAACGCGTTATGCAAACACAGCTTAACAGACGTTTTTTAACCTAAGTTTTCCAGCAGTCAGTTTCCATCGTTCAGAAACGTCCCGTTTACATGGGCCTAAGTCAGGATGCAATTCCCATGTGTCTTTCCTGACAAATTCAATTTAAAGCTTATCTCTGGGGGAAAAAAATATTTTTCCACACCACCCTCTTTAGCTAATCACTACATTTTTATTTTTTTTTAAATGAACTAAAAGCTCCAAATTATTAACTGTTTTTTCTGTATTATTCTGGTCTATTGTGTGGGAGGGTCCTTCTTCTAATGCCCACCAGGGGCAGACTGACCATTTTGAAACTCGGGCACTGCCCAAGGGCCTGGGGTCAGTAGGGGGCCCTATGAGATGCCCCTGGTACCTTTTTTTTTTATAGGCTTTTTTGAGTTTGGACAAGAACACAGGGGCCCCATGATCCCCTATTGCCCAGGGGGCCCCATGACTTGTCAGTCTGCCCCTGATGCCCACATTGTTCCCAGGTGATGTAGATGCTTTTCTTGGCTGTAAAAAAATTTCTTCACATGGGTTCTCACAGAGTCTTAAATACTTCATACAGCAGTTTCATGATTAGTGATGGGCAAATGCCAGTGAAGTGCCATTTTAAGGGCAAATTGATTATTTTTATGGCTCATAGAGAAACTGTATGGGAAGCCAGGCACTGCCATGGAAGATATGCATCAATGTGTTTGTGTTACTTTCAAATTTGAAGTTTGTTCTGCAAAGCACTGCTGATGTGATGATCTATGTGACATTATCTGCCAGTCATTCTGTTGAAGAGGTTCAAGAGTCCTGTGTCAGAAGTGAATACAGAGATACATGTCTGTTTTGCCAGCTGGCCAACCCCTGGTGAGCTTGTCATCAGTAGGTTGGAAATGGCTTTGACAAAACAGGATTGTAATATTATGGAATGGTCCTTAGAATGCTGCTTGCTCTGGGGACACTCATGCGTGCTCGCTCCCATGCTCTGTGTGTCTATGGGAGAGTGTGGCACAGTCCCGTCCTGCTCCCTGCTCACTAGCTGTGATTGACAGCTGCAGGAGCCAATGGCGGAGGAAGAGAGCCTCTGCTATCGTCCTTATCACTGGATCGAGATCAGGCTCAGGTAAGTATTAGGAGGTACTGAGGAGGGAGCTGCACACTGAAGGTTTTTTACCTTCATACATAAAATGCATTAAAGTATAAAAAACTTCAGTCTTTACAACCACTTGAAAGAGCATTTTCACTTTTACAGTCAAATTGGGACAATACCTACTTTATATTTGTTACATGTCCTCAATCACATAACATAAGTTTAAAAAAAACAAACCGCAGGTTACTTTTTTAGATACTCTTTTCTGGAACTTCCAACAGGGAACAATTCTGCTTAGCTATCTTTGATATGAGGGGGCTAGGAAGCTGGGTTTACCATAATTAATCCTGTCTGTACCAGGGGCGGACTGACAACTCATGGGGCCCCCAGGCAATAGGAGATAATGGGGCCCCCGTGTCCTTGCCCAAACTCAAAAAAACCTATGAAAAAGGTACCAGGGGCATCCATTGGGGCACCCTACTGACCCTGGGCCCTCGGGCAGTGCCCGAGTTTCCAAATGGTCAGTCCGCCCCTGGTCTGTACTGTGCAGTAAAATAAAATCTTGTCAGCTGAACACTGTGGGGTTGATTTACTAAAGTCAAACAGACTGTGCACTTTACAAGCAGTGAAGCTTTACCTCAATTACTAAGCTGTGGAGCGACTGCACTTCTGCAAGTGCACAGTCTATTTTTCTTTAGTAAGTCAACCCCTGTCTGTCTTAAAAGGTTAAGTGTTTAGGAGCTAGGCTGGTCCCTAGCCTTTTTATTAGGACAGATCATGCTGTGCTAGTTGAGAAAATATTACAGTCATCCAAGATATCGTCTTCTCAGAAACATCTAAAAGGTAAGAAATATTAAAAACATAAACTATTTTAAGGTATATTGTGTGAATATAAACACATAACAAACATATAGTAGCGTTTTCTCCAATTTGACTACAGAAGTGGAAATACTAATTCCACGTGCCCCCCAACCCCCCCCATCCCATACTGAATAGCTAGAGCTGGGTGGGTAGGAAGAATGCTTGTTTTCTTCTTTTTCTTTTTTTCTCAGCCAGGGATGGACTTTAAAGAGTTTAATTTTATCTTCGTAACTATTCCCCAATGTAGGCAATGTTGGAGGTCTAAATTTGTCTGTAGTTTGCCATTTGTAATTTGTTGACCAAGTTAATCTGTATACATTCCTAATGCTGAGAAATATGGTAATATTTTTGTCTTATTTAAAGCACAGACCATAATGATTCACCCTTCGATTCACCCATGACAAATCCAGATATGGATGTCTGGTCTTTATATGGCTAAAATCAATCATCTCAAGAGTCTAGAAACATGTCATGACTTACAAAAAGAGATGGAATAACAGCACATAACCAATGAATAGCAATACGGACTGAACAATGAATGATAAAAAAAAATGGAATACATTTTTTTAATTGAAAAGCGCCTTCTCTGTTGTACACATAGATAACAACTGAGTGGTGGATAAAGTCAGAAAACAGTTCCATTGTGAAGGAAAAAAATAGTTTGAGGGGCTAGAGCCTTGTGGATGAATTAAGTCAAGGGGCTGTCTGGCTCTGCTGCCGTTTCTACATTCGGAAAATGATTTCCTGGTCATTTTTCCTATTGTGCAACTGATATACTTTGACTACATGGTTCAATTTTACGCCACTGGCATGCTGATCTTCGGCTAGCTTCTTTTAGTCTGAGGTTTCCCATGTCCAAAAAGATATTGCCAAGTGAAAATTCAGTTCAAATGTCTTTCCACTACATCACACTTTAGCTGAAACAGTTCATCTGTGTTTTTTTCTTTAGCTAGTATGTAGTTTCTTTCTGTCACAATGCTTCAGTTACCTCTAAAGGTCACTACATTTCCTTCCTTAATGAGCTTCATTTACTAAAGCCGACCATAGATGGGGCAATTTTCCTGAAACCCATGGTTGAAAGAAAGAAAATCGCTTAATTCCCCCATCAACACTGTCAGTGTTGATGGGAGACTCCCTCCCTTGGAGCCATTGTGTTCTCCCGGCGGGGAGGCAGGGGGAGCCATCCCCATCGGGAGTATACAGTGATTACCGCTAGCAGCTATAATAGCATTAATCACATGTAAAATCTGACAGGCTGGTTGTACGCAAGTTGATCGAGCAATCAACTTGGGTACATTCACCCTGCCCATACATGGCTTGAATCCCAGCTGGTCCCTGCTGAACCTGCCAAGATTCAAACTGTCTATGGCCATCTTTACACAAGGTTATTTTCAATAATAGGAACATATAGTACATCTCTGATAGGCATCCTTCTGAGGACTGTTCAAAATAACTCATCCCCAACACAGGTACTGATTGTATGGTTTGCTTTTCCCTCACTCTTGTCTTGAATTGTATTGTACCTATACTGTCTCCCTTTTTTGTAAGGCTAGGCTCAAACCTAAATGGCTCTGCAAGCAGCATTTGTGCAGGCACGGTGGCCCATTCATTTGAAAAAGGTTCATGCACCTTTTTTTTTTAAATGCTGCCGCAGCGAAAGTGCTTGGTGCTTTTGCACCATGCAATTTTCCGCAACCCGAAAATGCACTGCGTTTTTAGATGCATGAGGGTGCCGTTAAGAATGATTATCTGCAAAAGAGCAGCATGGTTGGACTGTGGGTGGTTTTGGGTGTGGGAACAAGTGCAATTTACACACTGTCCTGCACCCACAACCACCCGCACAAATGTATATGTACACAGTTTGATCATCTATGCTTAGGGTAATCGTACTTTGAGCTTTCTTTTATCTTTCTATGTCCACTCATCTGTAGGTGGGATTGGTCAGGGTTCATGTATACATGTTCATGTACCCTCTCTGGACACGTGGCTGACCCCTGGCAGAATCTATCATCCCAGTACAATATATGAGGATGGTTGTTGCAACTGTGTCTGCATAAACAGCATGCTAACCTCAAGGGATTGCTGAAAATGCATCTTCCTGTAAATCCACGCATATTTCAATTGTAACCTTAAAAACTGCACCTTTCTAAACATTTTGACGAATCTGAATTCATAAGACAGGGCTGTGAAATGTATTTGTGAATGTATTTTTCAGTATGTTTTGCATCATGCCCCTCTATATATGGTTTTTCTAATGCAAATAATTAGAAAATGAATTTGTTGCAAAGTCTGTTACTCGGAGATCATGCTAGTAATAGCACTTCCTGTTTCTGGCTAATAATGCTGAGCTGCTGCCTTGCAATTAGTATTAGCTATGTCAGCCTATCATGTGTACTCCCAGTTGGCCATTGGGTTACAAATCAAGTCTGAAGGAGGCATGCACTTACCTCCCAACCATCCCTTATTCTCCAGGACCATCCCGGGATATGATGTCAGTCTCGGCGTCCCAGCGAATCAGCACTGAGTCCCAGAGTGGAGCCCAGTGCTGTAACAAGTTCTGGCACTTGGCTCCAGTGCCTTCTCTGGCAAGAGTGCATTAGCATGGGCACTGGTTGCTTCTGCCCTGCAGCTTGTGCAGGGTATATGGGGTACCACATACACCAATATCTGTATTGCAGCCGACATCCCCCCCCCAAACTGCCTATAGATTGCAGTGCCGGTGCCAGCATACTGATCACCAGTGGGGTTGGGGGGTGGCAGCAGGTGGAGCACACTAGATCCTCAGGACTCAGCCTTCCATCATCAGCCTGGTGCTGGCTGGAGCTCCATGAGGTCTGGAGTACAGTGGACCTCACGTGTATGAGCCACTGAGCGCCGGGAGACTACACTTAGTCCTCCTGCTGGTTGTAACTCACAGCTGCCTAACTATCCACCTCCATCACCACCATGAGGTAAGTGTGAGTGGGGAGTCCCCTCTGATCTGTACATGTCTGAGTCCTCCCAGTGCCACCTGTCTGTAACTGTGTAATGTGTGCATTGGTGGGTCACCCCTGGATAGTAATGGGGGTCACCTCTGTGTAGTAAAGTGTAAAAATGGGGGTCACTCCAGTGTAAGCTTTGATTGTGTGCACCGACCTATGTACTCTGTACTACTGTACGTGATCATACGTGGCGGTCCCCTCTGATCTCTATGTAGTGAAGGGGGATGATGAAGTTAACTAGGGTATAAGAGGATATGTTCTGGAGGGGCGCTTTGGGAGGGGAGAGAATTTGTGCTGGAGGAGGGATTGCATTTGAAATCCCCCAACCCAGCTTCTAGCACAATTCATCTTCCCTTTCAAAGCACTCCCCCAGTACTTATCTGACCCCCCAGCACAAATCCACTCCCCTCCCAAAGCGCCCCCTAGTACATATCTGACCCCCCACTTTGCCTTCTAGCATAGGTCATCTCCCCTCCTAAAGCACCCCCCCCAGTATATATCTGTCCCCCACTCTACCCCACATTCTAGCAGTCCTCTACCTCCCAAAGAGACCCCCCCCCCTCCCCAGCACATACCCAAAACCTGGGTTTTGTTTCAGCATGCCCATTAGGTCCCTCCCACTGTATAGTGTGGCCACACCCATTTTTTCTGCCTTCTACCTCCCTCAAG